CCAGTGAATGCGAGAAAGAAGAAGTTTATAGCCAGTGAATGCGAGAAAGAAGAAGTTTATAGCCAGTGAATGCGAGAAAGAAGAAGTTTATAGCCAGTGTTTGTGCAGAAGAAAAAAAGCTAACGACAAAAACACTTGTGAAAGAAACTTGCAGAATACAAAGAAGAGGTAAAATAAACTGACTAGACATTTGTTCAGATTTCTAACAGACAGACATCATCAAGTTATTGGTTGGCATCTGTGGCTTAAGGATTATCACTGCAGTTTCATAATTATGACATATCAGTGTCTAACTCGGCTGCAGACAATTCTGCAGCAGACAGCTGTATGTTGACTCTGACAGCAATACAGTGCAGACCTGATGAGGAGAACTCACCGGAGACCCAAGAAATAGTTCTTCTTATCGGAAATTCCTCTTATCCATTTAAGAATTTGAGCAAGAAAAACTGCTGGGGATAAACAAATTGTTCTTCACAGTAGAAATTCACAACATCCAAGATCACCTTATGCAGGCTGTACTGCATTTGCAATTAACTGTTCAGAAAGCAATGGCAAACTACTGGGAAAAAAACTAACTAGTAAAACCACAAACAGTCAACAAATGCCGAGACCAGTTTGCCACTTCCTGTAAGGGATATGCAACTAACCTTATTTTAACATCAAGAGATGGCCAGGACAAAGTCTAGAAGAATGTATCCCCAACGCTCGTGGCCACAACTGTGAGAGAGATTATTTACCACCAACCATGTCTGTTGCTGGCACCCACAAACAAATAAAATATATAAATAAGGACTAGAAGATGACTAGCATCATCACATTCAGAAAATGTAATATCACACATTCACATACAGTTGTTGTATCATCACATTCAAATACAGATGTTGTATCATCACACACTCACATATAGATCTTGTTTCATCACATATTCGCATACAGATGTTGCATCATCATACATCCGTATACATAAGATACAACACATCATACATTCACATATAGATGTTGCATCACCATATATTCATATATAGAAGATATTGCACCTCATACATTCACACATACAGAAGACATAGCCTCAGCAGATATCATTATTTTCAAACTGAAAGGAAAATAACAAGCACATGCAATCAAAACTTCAGCACCTCAACAGATGGATTTGCAACAAGTAAAAAAGGTAGAAGGTTTCAGATTTAGAACAAGACTATTTATTCAGCAATATTAAAATAGTAAGAGCAAGTATATATTCATCGCAGCACATATAAAGTAAATTAATTAGCACCTTACTTTAAAAAAGAAACCATAACATAAAACTTGACCCAATAAAGTAGAAGTTCATCAAAAGATTTTACAGTTTAAATCAGTAAAATAAAACACAATATCAGATATCAGGTGTACATACTAAAATTTTAACAAATCATGACTTGCATGCAAGTTTAACAAAAACACTGACTAACTGACTTTCTAGCCCACCAGGACATCACACAAGCGATAAACACCCGATGAGACAAAGTGCCACCATGTGGATGAGGATCGCCATGGAGAGGTCCCAGAAACTGCGTTCAGACAATTGGCCATATTTATGGCCTGACTATATTGCGACCCCTGGCAAAAGCCACAGTGGGGCTTCAAATAACAAAAAAATTTGTCCTTAAAAGGACGAAACGGGGGTTAGGCAGATGACTGCTTATCAGGTCTCTCAAAAAAAATATTATATAGCAGCCTGACTGACTGACTTTCTACCCCACTAGGACATCACACAAGCGATAAACACCCAATGACACAAAGTGTCACCATGCGGATGAGGATCACCGTGGAGAGGTCCCAGAAACCGCGTTCAGACAATTGGACATATTAATGGCCTGCCTATATTGCGGCCCCTGGCAAAAGCCACAGTGGGGCTTCAAATAAGAAAAAAATTACGTCCTGAAAAGGACGCAAGTAAAGAATATAAATTATATAGCATTACTAAGTTTAACGAAATACAGTATTATTTTTTTTTTAAAAACGCCTAATAAAACAATACAAGGTCTGACAATGAAGTAATGAGACTAATTCCATAAAAATTAAAATAATCAACAGTTGAAGATATAACCTGTATCTGATTCAGAATAACCTCCTTGTGCAGCGGTACAGCAAGTGGCACGATCTAACAAACACTGTAATCACTGTAATGACCTCTGTAGTTCTTTTGATGTTATGGCCCTTGAAGTTGATTTTAATGCCCTTTGGATGTCAATCGTAACTTTAATTTTAGGAATATAAAATAATCACAGGGAGACAAATCTGGGCAATAGGGTGGAGGGCTGTGAACACACTGTTGTTTAAGGGCCCACGATTTTTGTTTTGATGATTTCTTTTGGGTACTCAACTCGCTGATGATTTTTGTCATCAGACAACGAATGTGGTACAAACCAGCAAGCCACTTTCTTCTTGCCAAAGTCTTGCACAAAATGTTATGAATGGTCTCTCTATTATCACCAGATTCATCTACCATCATCCTCACCGCATAACAATGATCTTCTTGTATCAGTTCTCTGACTTTTGCAATGAGTTCATCATTACAATCAGAAATCTGGCGTCCAGGTTTAGGTGCATTAGTAATCATTTTCACACCACTTTTGAATCGTGAATACCACCTGAAAATATGTGCACAAGATAAACAGTTATCCCCATAAACTTGTTGCATCAACTCAACTGTTTCAATGTCGCTTTTTCTGAGTTTTAAAAAGAATTTAATGTTAGCTTTTTGCTCCGTGCTGATTACATAACAATGCACCTCTGACTAGATCAACAAAATAGCGGCTTGTTTGTTGTCTGCTTACCCAGCAGCGATGAAAAGTTGCCAGATCATAGATAAATGTTGCCTCTTTAGATGCCATGCTTTGTTTCATAGATGGCATTTTTGTCTAGGCCGTAATAAAACCAGTCTCATTACTTAATTGTCGGACCTTGCACATTAGGTTTAACGATAACATAACCTAACCCATAAGGGTCGTGGAGGTGTATCGATGGAAGCACTAGCACCAAGACCCTTCTTTCTCAGTCTTCTGCTTGATGAATAAGTGTATGTGTCCATTTCTTGAGGTTGTCATTCCAGGTTCTTCTTTGCTCTCCACTTCTTCGACTAACCCCCTAATGTTCCTTGAGGTACAGTTTTTGCAATTGAATCGACTCACTACGTGGCCAAACCAAGCTAGCTTGTGACTTTTCACCACTGCCAACAGAGGCTCCTGATATCCTGCAAAGTTGTATATTTTGTCGCTGAAATTTGTGTTAGTTTTATGTTCTAAAAAACTAATTTGTAAAATGTGGCTACAGATCTTAATTCATTAGCCTGAATCCTCCTTTTCATTTCCACAGTGAGAGTCCAACTCTCACATCCGTATAAGAAAATAGAGAATACCAGCAGTGATGTCTAAACACTCTGTGGTGAATACCACCAGTGATTTTTTTAGACACTTTGTGGTGAATACAACCAATGCTCTTTTTTTTTAGAAACTACGTGGTGAATACCACCAGTGATTTTTTTAGACACTTTGTGGTGAAAACAACCAATGCTCTTTTTTTTAGAAACTACGTGGTGAAAAGCACCACTGTTTTTTAGACACTTTGGGGTGAATACAACCAATGCTCTTTTTTTTTAGAAACTACGTGGTGAATACCACCAGTGATTTTTTTAGACACTTTGTGGTGAATACAACCAATGCTCTTTTTTTTTAGAAACTACGTGGTGAATACCACCACTGTTTTTTAGACACTTTGTGGTGAATACAACCAATGCTCTTTTTTTTTAGAAACTACGTGGTGAATACCACCACTGTTTTTTAGACACTTTGTGGTGAATACAACCAATGCTCTTTTTTTTTAAGAAACTACGTGGTGAATACTACCACTGTTTTTAGACACTTTGTGTTGAATACAACCAATGCTCTTTTTTTTAGAAACTAAGTGGTGAATACTACCACTGTTTTTTAGACACTTTGTGGTGAATACAACCA